GAAAGCGTTCGGCGCTACCAGTGTTAATAGCTCGGGTAAAAAATACGTAACAACATCGTGATATTCCGTGCGGATTTCTCAAGGTGGTATTTATGTATGAAGCTCAAATGTTCAAATGGTCCATTGAGTAACTCGTTTCTTGAAGCATGTTGTAAGCGACAAAATTGCTTGGGAGTTTGACCAACGCGTAGAACTCACGGGTCAAAACAAAACGAGGCAGTACCATGGAAATGGATGGATTTTAGCTTCCAAATTAATGAATGAATTCATGTGAGGCAAGATACCATATACCCTCTGAGGAGTACTAAAAGTGCTTGAATCAATAAAACCGATTGATGGTACGGGATATATGGCCTTTATTGTTCACTTAGAAAGAGCCTTAAAGATGAGTACATCGGGTGATGGCAAACCTGCTTTAAAACCACACCAGTACACGGTCAGAACAGACACAGTAGTGCGGGTGAAACTTTTCGAGGGACTATCCTACATGGAAGCAGGTCCCCTGAAGACGAATCCACGGTTAGCCGTATTACTTCACCGGAACATTTCGAGTTATCTGTATTTATTATTGTTATCAACCAATCCATCTAGCTGAAAGATGAAACCGATCAATCAGCCTCGCAAAATAATTTGGGAGCTGTTCTGAAAAATGAAGTAGAAGTAATATTATCCGTCCCATGCGCGTCCCTTGTACATAATGCCCATACCAATCATTTAGACTGTGCCTCGTACCGTCCAGGGATATACCCTTTAATGTACTCATGATATACCCTTTATTTAGTTATTTATTCAATACTGACATACCTCACCAATATCCGCTCAGAACGGTAACAACCGAGCCTTCCCAGTACACACAATAAGAGTGTAACTCAGTGTACTTGTGAGTGCACAGACAGAGCACGAAGGCCAGAGTCAGCCAGCGAGGGCACGCCGGCGCTTAGAGTAGGCCAGTGAACAATTCGCAATTACTTGGTTGCTGTACAAAGCCTTTCGGATGGAGATGCAATATGTTCACGGGTAACTACCATATGGGAGCGATGTTAACGAGGCAGATGGGTGCAAAGGCGAGAAGGAACAGACGATTGGCAGGTGTACCAATAGCGCAAATGTGTTTTGGTTATTCAGATCCATACTGCAGTATTCAGCTTTCGCCTCATCCGAAAATTTCGCAGTTCACACTTGGTATTTAAAGCTATCAGCAGCACATCGATACGCAGTACCGACGCTTTCCTGCCGCGCAACCAACACCAGTCGCGCAGGGGCTAGGATACTGAGAGTCGCTCGATCCCCCCATGGAGGCTCGAACCCGCAACTTCGGACTACAAGGCAAAATGGAGATCAATAAGACCACGGGACGGATTTGGTATCGAACAGACACCCATATTAAAAGTGTCGCCTCTTGTCACATGCCGCCCAAGATGAACCGCCCTTTCAATGCGTTGCTACGCTTCTGACAAAGAGCGACGAGGAATCACACCACTCTTTAAGCTCGACAGCTGAACACATCTAGCGTGGGAACCGGAAAGTGATCTGGGGGTTTATTACTTACATATATTTCATAAAACAGTAGGACCATAATTACATTGCTTTTTCTTTGTCCTGTCATCCGGTCTATACTACGTCATCATCGTGGAGAGCCTGCAGGAAATGTCATACCTTCATACCTGCCTTTGTTGTACAGCAGATCATATTCGCCCGAAGGTATTGCAGTCTGCAATAATGGATCTTGTTCGAATACTGATGACGTTCCATCAGTGTTATCCGTGCGAGGACGACATCATACGAATGTGGAAACAACGGGGCATCACTAACATTTACAACTGAGGTAGTGGTACTAAAGCCGTTAATAATCTTTCAACACGGACATTTGCAAATCAATTTCTCGATATGAATAAGAGGTCACACCTGCCGCATCCAAGTTTTGGTTAGCTCAGGTTCAGCTGCTAGTGACGATTCAACGCAACTGTTTGAATCAACTAATTACTATGAAAGTACACACCTATCGCACAACTGAGCGCTGAGACATCGCAGGAAGTTGGAGACCTTTAAATCTCCTAGTGCTGTCCACAAGAAGCCTTCGTGTCGAGTACCTTTTAAGATGCCATTTTGGGCTGTTTTGACTATCCGAGATGTTTCTGGAAGAGTAGGCCTGATTTCACTCTACAAGAATATTTCCGTAAACCCTGTTCTCCCAGACTCTCAGTGTGAACGAAATGAGGTCGTGATTTTAGTTCACTTTTGATTGACGAGGATATTGGGCTGACTACTAATGTTGATTACCTAGGTCAACTAGGAGCTGTGTGTGATCATCTAACCTTTTAACCGCTCGCCTACTTTGACATCGTTAAGTAAACGTGTACTGCATTTATCTGTACTGATGCACCAGACATCGACTTAGTAGTGGTCCTGGCTTAGAAGCAAAACAGACAGGAAGCTATTTTCTATGTTTAAAAAAACTGGCCCCTACAGAAATGTCATATTCCGCCGGTGAAAGAGGCCGTTGTTTGTCTGGGCCCGTGAGGAAAGTCAATTATTCCTGTTTGATCGTAGATTAACACAGAGTACAGACCACGCTACTCTAAATACTTTTATCGATCATAGAACTAACGGGGATTAGCCACTGCAGATCGACCACCTGTATGCTCATTGTTTGAAGTATGAGTTCCAACTAACCAGAAAAGAAGGACGAGAAAAGGCAATGATTCCCGCATTACTGTCAAGTGAACACTTTAATGTCATCTAGAAAAAGCGCCGCAAAACCTCCCCATAGTGCCAGTTGGGTTGTTTGGATTCATCCCGTTCCAGCGAATGGTTCAGTGGCTGTGTTCCAGGACGTGCGGCGTTAACGCTTGGCAAGCGTTCTCAGTATGAATAATGAACAATTAGCTATCACGGGCAAAATAGCCGGTGCTTGACAATTCCCGTAGGATGGTTGGAGTAAAATTGAAAGGTTCAACAAATAAGTAAATCGCCATGATAATTGTGTGCCGATTCAAATGAACTACGTCATAACAACACTTAGGATGGGATGTGCACACACAAAATAATATAGACAGCTATTAGAGCTCAGTAGGTGCGTGTGAATAAAAAGTCGCATAAGTCTGTTTAACAACACTGCGACGTGACGGATGTGATTCGCCACTAAGTAACGTCATTGCTATTCGCTTGTCCGAATCACCTTACTCACTCCATAGATTTCAGTCCACCAAGCCAAAGAGCTCCTCGAACCCTTATCATGCCGATGACCTGATTGAACACAACGCTAAACGCAGCGCTAAATTAGTAAATCCAAGCAACACAGATATGTAACTTCCTACTTGGTTGGCGACATCAGGTTTCGGATATTTGCCTGTCACTGTGGCCAGCCACAGGGCGCCTGCGCCTACAGAGGGACCATAGATGGCTTGCGCTGCACCACCCACAGCTCTAACCACACACGCCATATCCAGTGTAAAACCGAAGGATTAAGACCGGGAGGCATGCGGATAGGTGCCACGTTTCATTAAAAAAGCCGGCCAACACTCCTTTTACGGGCAAACACAAGCACGCTGTATTTGGGGAATCAAATACACACAAAGCGGTGGCTGAACCGTAGACCGCTCCACACTGAGTGCATGGAAACCACTCTTGGAGCTTAGCACGACCACAAGGACCGTGCACACCGTCCCCTCCAGCAACGAGCAACTGTCTTGTGGAGCCAGTATGGAACAGGTAATGGGTAATAGACAGGTAGGCATCTTGTCAACATACACGTCAAGCGAATCCACACCGGGGATATCAAACAACAGCCAATCGTTCGAAATGCCGAAATCAAAGGAAAGATATCGAATAGAGTAAACGTATATGACAACATAACTACTCGCTATGAACAAGGAACAATGAACAATGATTTATCACGGGATAAAAGCAAGTGCTTGACACGTCCCGTAGGATGGTAGCGGTGAATATGAATATGATGCAATTAAAATATGTCTGGGTCATCTATCGAACGTCTGCCGAGATGAATACTTTGATAATTAACATCAGTGTAAAATGAAAAAGAAATATCGCGCGTAAACATTCAGAAAGACACTGGGGCGCAGTGATAGTTGAGGTAAGGAGTGAGAAAATGAAATATGGTCGCTCACTTAGGTCCATTTGATACATTAGTCCTGTTGAAAACATGCCTGGCGTAATCCACAACAGAGGAGCTTAGGTAACAAAATGTTGGGAGCTGAGAGCAACATCTAATCGTTTTTTGAAAACATCCAGGGTCGGAGAGGATACAACTGAGTCTAGGAGTGCGTTCCATGGTCTGCAAACCCGAAGGGAAAAGTAATTCCGTCGACACTCTAGACGGCTATATTGTTCCTTCAACTTTAAGCAGTTACCCCTGAGCTGCGGGTTGTGGCTAAGTTTCAGTAAATGGCGGCATACGTGGTTGGGGTCACTCAATATCTGATACGCTAATATGAGATCGCCGCGCAGCCTTCGATAACGTCCGCTGAAAATTCCCAGCAACTTCAGCCTTCGGTGGTAAGAGTGACACCGCTAAATGAGCACATGGAAGCAATTGGTTATAAGCAAATCCGCGATGAGTACAAAATGTCCGAAAACTATTTAAAACATACCAAGTGATAAAGTTACGAAGTTTACCACAATTAGCATGAGCGACGTGTGCCATTTAGGGAAAGATTATCAGGTATGCATAACAAACCGAGGTAACGTTACATCACTGGTTACCTTTTTCCAGAGCAATTTGTTAACTCATAATTACTCATGATTTGAATGACCATAAATTGTCAGAACAGTCGAAACGTCATGTACCAACATTCAAAGCTCACTGAATCGCAATTTGCAGCGGGAATTCGAGGATTATTTGATGAGCAGCTTAGTATTAGTATTTAAATATATCGCAATCCAGGTACCGAAATCTATGTAGTAATTTTGCAAACTGTCACAGAGACTCAAACACATGCACTGTAATTCAGTTAATTAATTGTTAACTAACTTTGTTTCAGGAGAAATTCGTCCCAGGTTCAAGTATTATTTGCTGGGTGCATTTTATCCCAGCGGACGGCCAATGCTATAAAGATGTTATTCGTATTCATACCGAGGTAGGTAACTCTTTTCATGGTCACTGACCAACGTGAACTTCATGTGTCGGCGTAAAACTGTAGCTCAATAATAAGCTGCACGACAGCTTTAATATTGTAGGTTCTGTTGAAATAGTCTTTCTTTATGTTCAGATTTTTTGTGATAATATACCGCACTGGCACACTGAGTGAAAATATATTTAAAGGCAGCCATATGAGACTTCGTTTTAACCGGTACATACGCTGATTTTTGTTTGTTCTCTTCAGCACACAGATCGACATTTGGTGGTTCCGGTGTATGCATACCCCGTAGCTGGAAGGTTGAACTTCCCAGGAAACATACGCATACCTGCAGTTCCACTTGGTACCACGTAAGTTTCAATTCGCCAGATCCATACCAGCTGTCCGTCAGTTTCACGACAGGCAAAATGCAAAACGTGACTCTGAAGTTCAAAAGTGATATAGATTTTAGCGAGTAGCCTTGAGCGGGAGCCCAAAGAGCGATTCCAAAAGACAGATCGGGTTGCATGGAAACTTTTGTTTGTACAGCAATAGGTCCCCTGTTGCCTAACTATAAAAAAGACACCGCTTACGCTCTACCTAAGGGAAAGCAAAAAGCAAACACACAAGCATTCGCGCGTGTTGAATGAGTTCGGCGCGTTCGAAGTAGCTGGAAGAGTTGATCAACAGGCGATTAGCACACAAGCGCGATGGACAACTGGCAAGTCAATCACACGACGAAGCGAACAAGGGAGAACGCGTACGGTTGGAACAAGCAGCGTGTGTATTGCGTCAAGAAGCGTTAACAGCGGTACAACCAATAAGGAAAACAAAAGGGGCGGGGAAATGCGGATCGTTTAAGAAGGCGGTACGTATTCATTCACCTGGCACTCATTCACACAGTTCGTGTCAGTTACATTCGAGAAGTTGACCATTGTGAGGTCTGTGAATAAAAAGAGAAATAAAAACACGGGTGAAAACCAGGTCAAAAAGCGTCCTTGACTTGAAGATTTACACTACACGCGTTGTAACCGAAAGGAGCGCCAAACAAAACTAGCGAGACTCAACTCAAACAATCGAACTCAGCAACCAGTTTAACAATCCGCATCGGTCGCCCAGGTGTACACTGAAATAGTGATTTTGTTTAGAATTTTATACAGGCAAACCGGGGAATCTCCAAACTGCTACAAGATTAAAACTACGGTTGAGCCATTCATTTAAAAGGTATGTATACATACGACTATCGCTTCAACATGGACATATTGCACAACAATATAGACGTTTCGCAAACTACTCTGAAATTTCGCAAATCATTTAGAGCGCTTTACAAACCACTTTGGGCGTTTTGCAAAGCACTGTAAACGTTTTGCAAGATGAATTGGACAGTTTATATACAACTTTGGACACATTACATTTTAAGCAGCAAATCAGCAATTTTCTAGCACGGAATGAGGACTAAGGCAATTAGACGATGTTCAGACTACATTGTAGTTTGCTAATGAGACCGAGTCGTGTGAGCAGCGGGTGACGCTACAAACCCTGCTCTTGCTCGTGAACCCTGATCATCGCGATCAAAGGCGGTGACTGAGTGCTCGCTTTTCTTCCCATCGGTCTTCGTGTAGTTTATAGGCCTCTGACTTTACACATGGAGATGCGTAGCTTTGTGACTATTGAAAAATTGGATTCCCGAAACGCCTAGCCTATTATGAATTAATCGAAGGTTGCACAGTAGTAAAAAATCCCATTGAATGATTAAACGTCGATGCAATCGAACAGAGGTTTTCAATAATTCCTCTTTAGGCTTGTACAATTATATTTGGAAAAAACAAAACGTTTGACCCAACGTAAGGTTTTGTAAGATAAATTTGGTTCACAATCACTGATCAAGCACAACCAGTATCCGTTAGGTCACAGCTGCGGCGCACACACCATTCCGTGAACCGGATGTCGAAGTTCGGGTGGGCCAAGGCAGTTTTAACTTCTAAACGAGCGTTTCCGAATGCACAACTGCGGCTGGTACAGTGGAATCGCGATAACCTCCGCAGCTTCAAGCAAGCGCCTACGAACGCACTTTGTTCGATTGTCCGGTGCCTGATAGATCACTATGTATGACTCAGCCAAATTAGTGGCGTGGCCAGTGTCAGTGAGATAAGGGGCTATAGATGAATTGCTTGGTTTTCGGCAAGCAGTCTTGAGCCAGGCCGGATGATGCTGCTTCACTCTGTCAGACAGGCGCCTCGTCGTTCGACCAACAGAGCCTGCCCCACAGGTACAGGAGAACGAATAAATCCACATTGCAAGAATAGTTAGCGTTTCGCGAAATAGACTGAATTCAGTTTATTTCGTCTAAACTCAATCAGTCGCGAAATGCTGCTTGTTCTTACGTTGCTGAAATTTCTGAAGGGAACTGGTTGCATAAATGCACATTCATTTGGCGTGGACGGGCCTCTTGTCTTTGCAGGTAGTTCTAACCATTAAGATACCAGGGAGCGGGATTTGTATTTTATCTGCTGGGAAAATGTCTCTGAGGGCATGATAAAGGCGAAGATTTATGATTTCAGCAGCGATTTTTCCCTTGCATGGTTGTTGGAGAAATATGGGTTTTTTCTGGACTATAATCGTTACGAAAGACTTCTTCCTTTGCTCTATGTTGGCTTCCAGGAAATTATCAGGGTAAACATTTCCTCTCATAGTCGAACGTATGCGATTCAGTTCTTCGGGAAACCTTTCATTCGAGCAAATTGCTTCTGTTCCACTCATTAAACAGGAGAGCAGGTTCGGTTTTAATTTCATTCCGACGAAACCGTGGAAATTTTCCACGTATAATTGTACATTCATGAAGAGGAATTAGTAAAAATATGTTCGCTTGCATCGACTTTTAATCAGAGGTTACCTAACTTAACAGAATCGTTGTGAAGCACGCGTTTTGTGGACGGATTGCGATGCGCAATCTCAATGTGGACCGGGATTCTCATTGGAGCAAACCTTACCCAATTCGCTCACTAGACCGTATTGGATGAAACAAATTGGCAGTGACCCAGTAGTCTCTGCAATTCTACAGGCCTTCTCACATTTCCTGTGGGTGTGTGGGCGAACTTAGCCGATAACGGGAAAGTGTAGACAATCAGGATTCCACCAAAGCCGGTATACATTTATTAACGTATTGCTGCAGTTTGTTATCAAGGCCAGGGGATTAAGGCGACTAAACCATATTCAGGCCACTTAGTGCTTACGCGAATGCACCGAAAATGTGCAAGAAGTACACTATTGTGCAAGCCTACAAGCATACAAGCGCATGGGCGTCGTTCATTCCGACCAGAGCCCGTGACCCCTGTCCATCTGCGGATCTTGGCGTATTTTGTGGGTGCGTGTGGGCGAACGTATTCATCTGTTGAGCCATTGGCAGAGTGTAGGCTAACATGATTCCACCAAAGCCAGTCTAGCTTTATTGGCCTAATGCGGCAGGTGGTCATAAAGGACACAAGAGCAAGGTAACTATAAAATTTCCCGCAATGATGCATAAAATGTCCAAAAGTTTGCAACGAATACGCAAAATATTGCAAAGAAAGTCCAAATGTTTGCAAAGAAAACCCAAAATGTTGCAAAACCCTGTGCGATTCGCCAGCCGCTCAGAGACAATCTTCTGACCTTAAGTGTGTTCCCATTGGCCGGATGCCAAGGTTCGGTGCGTTAGTCTGGGGAGATGAGTGCGCTGTCCATTGACTGGGTGAGACTTGTGAATGAACCTTAGAGGCGTTGAATTCGGCGGTGCGACGGGCTTGTAAGCGCCACCCTCACATACGAAACAGTGAATCACGATTGGTCTGAGAGCAATGAACAGCCGAAACATAAGCGCACAACCAAAACCATGTCTATGCTTCTAACATCGTCGGAATGCCTTCTCGCGTTCGATAGAGTATCTCATCAGACATTCTTGACCGAGTTTTAGGCGACTTCGTCAACGGTGATGACTGGCAGCTAGTGGCAACTGTGAACAGCGTCAAGTATCAAACTATTTACTCTTGGATTCGTCGATCTCCTGATCAGGAGCCGATTAATACGCAGACGCGCGGTTGTAAGCGGATTTTGTCGGAGGAAGACGAAGATGACATCCCGGATCGGATCGCAAAGGACTCAACTCTTACGCGAGTACGAGTATGAGCAGAAATGGCCAATGACATTTCGAAGTCAACAACCGCACGGCACCTAGATGGTCGATTGTTAACTATGACGAACATCTATCAGGTTACAGAGGGAATGCAAAATGAGAGAACCAAAGCGATACGCAGGGAATTCCTTCAGCAGTTTCTCCAAATTGAGAGTGGTGGCAAATTCTTCATTTGGGTTGATGAAGCAAACTTCCACGTTTACTGCAAACGTACTCGTGGTTGGTCGCCCAGAGGAGTGATAGCCTGTTGTAGAGTTGCCAACAGTAGAGACCTCGATTTGCATTTGATCGGTGCACTCACAATGGAAGGGAAAGTGTCGATGACCAGCCGGAGAGGCTCATTCACAGGTCCTCTATCTCTCGAATGGCTGCGAAGCTATTTAGACAATCTGAAGCGAAGGATATAGCTCCGGTAGGTTGTCATGGTATCTGCTAATGCGTCATGTCACACATGACTAGAAGAACTGTCGTCAACAGATGGATATGAGGGTGTAACCATACTGAGATTGAGCTCATTGCTCATCGTTCCTTAATCCGATCGAAAATGTTTGGCAAGTGGTGAAGGCCAGAGTGAAGAACGAGATGAGAACGCACTAGGAGGAACTTCTGGCCAGGGATCCCCAGAAACTCATGACGCACATGCAGTGGAGGCTGCAGTTTCTTGAATTCATTGCCGGAGCAGCCACCAACGATATCAGCGTTGTGGGATGTCGTAATGCTATTCGACAAATGCGTGTACCTTTGTCTAATTGTCTAGCAAAGATGACATGTTTTGATTACGTTTCTGGCCTATTTTTATGTAGCTATTTGTATAGCAAAGCCACTGGCAGCGCGTAGGGACGTGTGGGTATTCACGGTGTTTTCAAAATATGTATACACATACCTACGTTTATGTGTTCGTACGGGGGTTGAAGCGATACTTGATGTCTAGTGCAAGTGAGTGACAGGGGAACGGCTTCCAGTGAGCAATGCCCGAGTGATATGTTCAAGTTATGGTCTTTTTCGTGCTGGTATTCGCCGCGCCGTACTTTTTCATGATCAGTGTGAAATAAGGTAAATAGGGTTTCTTTGTTCGGGAAACGAGGATGGTTGGAAAGCGCATTGTAGGACCGAGTGAGCTTGCTGTCAGATATATCACAGTTTTGGATATGAGCGTGGTTAGTTGAATAGTAGTGAATAAAAATTGCTGCGCCCGTCATGTCA